AAAGGTGTTGAAATGAAAAATAAAATGGACGAGCTGTTGATAATAACAGGTAAGTCAAATTTGTCAATTATTATTAATGTGTTTCCAATTGCGGCCAATTACAATTATTATTGGTTCTATCTGGGAACTGGCATCACCGAGAGCAGTCACGATCCTTAGTCGAACAAACTGTTATTCTTATTGTTACTATATTATACCTAGTCTGGGTTATAAAAAATATATTCATATCTGGATCATTCTATACAGGCTGCCCGGGAAAAAAATATATGTGATCTGGCGGTATCGTTTGTTATATTCTATAAGATAGTCATTAAAGATATTATTATTATAATAACAGTATATAGTACTATTGTTCATTGTGCACTCTCATAACAACACATTTACAATAACAACATTTTAAATTGGAAATGCGATAATTCTTGGCGATATTTTAAGTAGACGAAGAACTGTTGTATTTATTTAGATAGTTTCTCCTGTTAAACTGCAAATTTTGTACAGGTACAATTTTTTGAAGTATTCGGTAATTTTATAACTAAAAATAGTTTAAATTGCGATTGTTTTATGAGAAAATTAGTGTCCTACGTCAAACGGATCGCCCTGTATATTGTCCCTCGTAAATAATTTGAGAATGACCGTTTTGGTTTATTTGCAATGTATAAGCTTAAAAAGCTAGCTACCCTTTTGGCACGTTAGGCAATGCTATTGTTTCCATAATAAAAGCCCACCAATGAAAACCGATCATACTATATACTATATTGTTGTCATACAACCGCCACTTGTGGTCCAGTCGCCTTTTTCTTGTCAAAAGCGGTAATATTATTACAACGGTTGCCCGGCATTATTGTCCTAGGTGGAAAAATAGGGTCTAAATATGTACCAATGCGAGTGAATTTTTTTTTCCGTTTCTATTAACCGTGACAATACAGGGTTGCTGGGACGTCCTCCCTGCTAAAAGCCACAGCCAATGACCGTCGATTAGGGTTGTCCCTGGGGGGCAGGTATCGACCACCCTCGTCAAAAACCGGTAGTGTCTTAGACACGGTGCTGCACAGAGTTTGTGGTTTTTGCGAAATCACTGTGTAATTGTGGTTAAAAAGAAAATAATAAACTATGCTTTATAACCGACCTGAGAACGCCAAAGAAAAAAAAAATTGGTCTTGCAGACGATCCATTCAAGTATATGTAATATGTACAATAGTCGTGGACAGAACAAAATTATTATTGCGTAAAACGGTTGATATATTTCACAGGCTCAGAAAGCCATCTATTTAGATTACCATCTATTATAGTGTTATAATACTAGCAAAGGCATAACCGGTTACTCGGTTCGTAAATTAGCTCCTTATTCATTACTTAAATGTATAGAAACTGCAAAGGCTCGTTATTTTGGTAACACAATAATAGCAAAACGTAGAAATGTTGTAAACTTAAATCTACTAAGAGGACTCATTTTATTAACCCTTCTAATGCCAATTTTTTCTCCATTTTATAGTATAAATTGTATTTATATAAATTAAATTATCAGGAATTTGGGAAAAATAGGTAAAAAAGTATATTATATCGATAACATTATAAGATCTGGTAGACAGCATAACTGTTGTGTGCCGGCTAAATTAAAAGTGATTTTTCTGAAAAATTAAACTATGTTATAAACATCATGATGCATTTCTGTTACAACCAGCACCGAAGGGTTAACTTATGTGGTATAGCATTTTTTTTCTCCAAACTGAGTTAGAATTGTTCTTTGTTTTTCCTTTTATGAATATTTTTGATTGTACATCACTTGAACCACACTAAACCACAGCAGATTTTTACATTTGATGAAAACATTTAACACCAATATAATATTATCGTTTAGACGATGAAATTATAAGTGAAAAATATTATCAAGATTATATTTATAATTTTAGTAAAAAATGGATAAAGTATCTAAAACGTGTAAATTGAAAATTATCAATTTGATAAAAAGTTTACTTGTCAATAAAAAGAATGGCACTTTATAAATTTTAATCGATTTTTTTTTAACTGCGTTTATGCAGTAAGCTCAACCGACCTTGTCAAGATTATACGATGGGAAAAGGTCAGTACATCTTTATCTTTATACCGTCTTGAATCGAATGAACCTATCTAGACAGTCCGTCACAACATGTCCAATCATCTGGCAATCGCTGCCACCGTCTTGTGTGTCTTTCTTTTTCTATCGGTTCATTCAGAGTAACCGAATAGCGCTCTATTATGACTTGGTATAAGTTCATTGGCGGACTTAAACTATTGGCCAGGTTGCAATTTCACTCACGCCTAATGTGTCTTACCTAACTAGTGTGTGTGTAAACAAGATTAATAGCGTTTCTGGCGTGTAAAGTCGTTCATAAATTCGTCGGGTTTTTTAATATAAAATATGATATACTTGGTAAAAAAAAAAAAAGGCAGTAGGTACAACGCTGTCCGACTCGGCTATTCGATAACAGAGCGCAGTGCGGTTATGACCGACGAAATACGATCCAGCTGTCGAGTATTGTGGAGCAGATTGTAAGTATAAAAATATGTTCAAAGATATAAACCTTAGACGACCCGGTCTCGATTTTCATCAACCCAATACTTGTGACCTCACGTCCACGCCGTGTCTTCGGACATACACACTGCGACTGTAAAACAATGAGAGTGCATATAAGATAATAATATGTAAAGTATAAGTATCTAAGAACTAGTATCTATGTAATTTCTGGAATGTACTTACTATACGTGCACCCTGGTGGAAAAATTGGAAAAAGTAATGTCTATACCAGCAAAGCCGAAAAATGTACATAGATATCTTAACCAAGGATAACAGCAAGACTTCTTATTCTTAATGAAAAATTTTAATTAAATATATATATACATATATTTGTTGTCATTTGAATTTTAAAAATGTTCAAAGAGCTCTGGAAGACACTAAAGAAATTAGTTTTATAATATACCTATTGTACTACCAATTTTTTAAAATTATTAAATTGTTATTATTTCAAGACGTATCGAGTGTCTTAATACAATTTATACTTTACCATTTCAGTTTAAAAAGTTGATAGTCTCTATAAAATACAACAAAAAGATTTTAATATAAATATTGTCTAATATTGTAAGACGGCATAAACGAAAAATGCAATTATTTTAAAAGAAAATTGGCATAGGGCGTTAAAATATTCCCCATTAATCATTATAAGAAAATGTAAAGTTTTTTTATTGATTGACAAATTGAAAATATATGCAATTATTACTTAGGAAAGGCAAGGCATAAGGAAGTAGACATTATTGAAATATCTCATGATACCGAGGCTGAAAGACGGTGAAGACAGATATAGATGTATAGAGGTATGTCGAAGGCAGAGAGTCCATATATATATATATATATATATATATATATATATATATATATATATATATATATTACTTTGACAAAACCATAAAAAAACAATTTTAATTCTTATGCACTATACTTTTTTAAATTTGTGAATACCAATTTTTCCACCAACGGTAAGAGTTTTAATTTAACAAATTTGACTCTTTTCATAAATAAAATGACAAACTTAAATTTTTTCATTCAGGAAATTACTGAATCCTAAACGGGATTGTGATGAAAACCGAAACTACTTTACCAATATATTATTATTATGACTTTTAAACAAACGTTTGTGAAAATATATAAATAAACTATCAATAGGGACTTTGTTTCCTGACTTCACAATCGCCATAATAAAATTAACTATCATACGAATTGACTCCTTTCAAAAGTAATTTTTAAAAATATCGTGACAGCTGTAAAAGTTAAGAAAGGAGTAGATAAAAAACCAGAACGATTAAATATCAACCGAATATTTAGATGGATTTAGCTGATCGATAAGTTACCAACAGCTACAATACAATGTGTATAATATACTTATTAGGAAATCATACCGCAAAAATAGAAAGACAAGTAATTTATGTAAAAAATATATATAATAAGTAGAAGAGTTACTTAATACAGCAATCATCTCAATAATGATACATGTGTGGTTTTTTTTAAGTAAAACAAATTGAACCACTTATTTCGGTTTCCATGAAATCCTACCCGAGTTGCTTACCGACTAGTGTTCAGTAATTTGCCATTCCCTTATAAGAAGCCAAGTGTTATCCCATTAAAATAGTTTTAGCTATCTTGTTCGTTTTAAAATATATTTCAGCCATCTCCGGCAAGCAACGGCGGTGTGTATTTTATATAATTTTAAATAGGAAGCCTTTATGTAATTATACCCATTGACTATGTCCTATATCACCGCCCTAAGACCGCCGTGATTAGTCATTCTAAAGATTAGACATTAAAGACTACTCCAAGAAACAAACACAATATTCTCAGAAATTGTAAATTACCACCTAACACGCAGTCGAGTTCTGTGCACCATTTAAAGTTTACAAGTTAAATTTCAAAATTAAGATCAAACGTTTTGGGCTAGCCACAGTAATAATAATAATAATAATTTAAAATTTAAATAACACTTGAATGAAAATATTTACAATAATAACAAAACCCAATAAACAATGAATTTAGTATTAGAAAACAAATCATTGTGAATTTTACACCGATGTTGTCTCTGTGGGTTTAATGTTAGTCATAACATTCTCAAAAACTTCTTTTGAAAAACTCAAATACTTCCTAACTTGGTATTCTTCAAAGCTATAACACCAACTGGCAGGACCATTGTATGGTATGACAACAAAACTTACTGTGGAATAAAAAAAGAGAAATACATGAAGATATTGATGGATGTAAGACCACAGACATTTCTATTAATTAAACCCAAGTAAATGGAGTTGCTTATTCCAATTTAACGGCGCTGTAGGTATACATTTTTTTGTCCAAATTGGGTCGGCCAGCAAAATCCAAAATTATCTACCCGTCAACATATCATTATTTACAGCCGGCGTGGAAAGCAACCGTCATTGCATTTTTTATTTATTCTCGGTTTTATTTTTTAATTCACACTCACTTTTGCGCATGTATACGGTATTAGCATTCCTACACTACACACACACACATGGTCTTACACCAATTGACCGTTAAGCAATTTCAGCCATAAGCCACACGAATGGTATAGCGTTGCACACATAAGCGCGTAGACACCAATGATTTATTGCACGGGAAGAGAAACGTTTTGTTTTTTTTTTTTTATCCATTTGGAAATCGGTTCGACTTAAATATCACACGTACACCCATTACATTATATAAACACAGACACACACTTGAGAAGGGGATGGTGGTGGCGGTGGTGGTGGTCCATGTCGAACTGGTTCCCGGATATAAATTTTGTCACCCCCTCCCGTCGCCCTTACCCCTTTGGTGTGTTTCTCACGGACACCCCCGCACAAACACCCGTGTTTAAGTACATGTATTTGCATAACCGACACCCTATACATTTAGTATAATATTATATTAATACCTGTATAATGTGCGGCCGCCGGACTCTTCCAAGACCTGTTCCAATGCCTATGTCCTATTGAATAACACACAACTCAGTATTGATACAATATCGATTCCGGACATTCGACTCCTCGGCGGCCTAAGCCAGAGCAAGCTACTATAGGAACTGTAAAACTAAAAATAGTGTTTTTAAAATAACAGAATTAGTTTTTTTTTTTTTAATAAAACTAAGGTATTCAATATAATCAGTGTAATATATTTTATATAGAAACAACACATATTTTTGTATACCTAATGGATGTTTAATGCAATTATTTAAATTTAAAACATAAACAAGTAACTTCTAATATTATAATGGTTCTAGTGTGAATGAATACATTAATATAGTTTATTACATCACAATTTCTAATATCGTGTGTGATAGACATTATTCATGGACTGTTTCGCCCATTTGACCACACGAATTATAGTATGTTTTATACTTGTTAGTATTGCAATGATATTAATTATAATACCGTTTAAACAATATAGAAATGGACAGATTTACATTTGAGTACATACAATTTCAATTTAATTCCTCTACTCTTCTCACGTAGGTACAATAACGGCTTACTACTAAAGTATTGACTTTAGGAAAAACATATTTAATTGTTTTTAGAGTTAGTCATCATCATCATCGACTACTGCGGTTGTCGACCGGTCACAATTGTCTATGGATTATTTTGAATTTATATAGGTACTAAAATAAAATATATCTATGTGTTTTATAACGATAATTATAGATAGCTATTTGCTTGGAGAAAACTAGTGGAGCATCTTTTAAGTAGAAATAATAACGTTTAATCGTAAATAATAAAACAATACAATTTTTGGGCAATCGCTCAAGAAGTACCATTTTAGGTCTTGGACAGTATTGTGAAACAGTCGTTTACAAGATCACCTGTATTCGACAACAGCTATTAATTTCTGATGAACGTCTTCAATGCACGACCCTTAGCACCCTTAGTGAGCCGTACACAATTATTACACGGGGGCCATCCCCTTAAACGTCTAACATCCCGGACAAATCGATGCAACAGTTTCACATGGCCAGCATAATCGTTGCACCCCCCCAAACGGTGCCGGTAGGTACCGCTGCCCCGGGGTCGGTTGTTTTTGAATAGGTCGGAAAAAGAAATCGCAGCCCTTTACAAAAGGGTTTTGCACTTGCGGGTCGGTCCCACGATAACCCACAGCGGCCGCCCGAAAAGGGTGACTTTTTTCGAAAAATTCCAATTTTTTCCAAAAACGACAACAATGCTTGGAAATGCTTTTTGCAAAATGGGGATAACGACGCGGTCGCAGAACTTGCAAGAGGACAATCGACAAGGTCTGCAAATAGGATTGAGCATTTTTATCGGGAATACCCGCACAATAGACACACAAGTTTAAGGATCTAGTCCTTTCTCAGGACATTGTCGTATTGTTGTTGTAGTTGCCTTTTTGTGTTTTGCACAATCCACGTTGGCCGATTTATAGCTCAGACTTGGAGCTGCGAGGTATTGTAGTTTAACAATAAAGGTATATACTTTTTTTTGAAATCTGCAAAATATGTTGTTATTTCTCATCGTCTAACGCTTTTGCCCTGGCCCTTTCTCCTTTGGTTCACATGACTATATGATTTAGTTACTACATTGACATAAACGAAGAAGAAAAAAATTGCTCACTTGCATGTGTAACCGTTTCGATCCTATCCCGTTGCATCCCTAAGGGGCTAGCTACTTTTTAACGGTTAATATTTCATTTCCTGACAAAATGGGATTTTAAAATTTAGACATTTTCACAATATTAAAAAAAATATTTATCTAACAATATATTTTTTCTGTATGGAAATAACTGATTAAATTTCTTGTACACTAACTGTAGTTATTTGTTATGCAAAAAATCTAAGTCAACTAAGTAACTGAGCAGAATTTTGGCAATCAATCGCTGTGCACAAAATCTCCAATTTGAAAATTATACTTAATGGGACACCATCTGTAAAAAGTGCAGTGATAATAATAAAAGTACATTAACAAACTTGACTCATCACTGACATTGCATATTGTTTCACACAACAAAATTACCACCGTACATATTATTATACTATAACAACAGCTATTATACGATGCCAGTGTAATAAAAACACATTGAAATAATACAGTTATTCCTGGTCGCCCAGATAATAAATGTTAACTGTGTGAACTTGGTGGAAGTTATGATCTATGTAAACCACCAGTTGGTACGCATTATTATATAATATAAATCTGTATATATTTTGGATTTTTTTTACGGTTAAAATTTCAATTTCCTATATCCGATAATGAATTCATACAATCAATTAACGCGCCACTGTATATGACATTGGAATCGGCGTGACGTTGATAAAAACCGTTTCCGGCGTTTGTTTTTTTAAGACTAGTTGTGTTTTTATTGTACAGAACAACAGCTAATAAATTAAACAGGCAGACAACTTTAAGTATATTAATAAACTAAAAGATCAATGTAGCCCGAAAATAATTGTTTATAAAAATTTCAGACTCGAAACGCGAAAAATTCCCAATCCATTTCTCTAAACTTAAACTAAAATACATTTCTGCTGTGATAAGAGTTTCAAAAAATCAAGTCTTAATCACTCATTAATTATCTATTCGACTTTAAGTCAATACCAAATTACAATAATATAGACTATATATTATATACCGACTGAGTTCTTCGAACACCCTACACAAGTTTACTCTTAAAATATTGGCATTTTACAAACCGACATACATCTGACAACAAGTAATCACGCCTAAAGTAATTCAATTAATTCAGTGCAGCAAGAATACTCAAATGAAACGATTAGTCAGCAGTAATTAGCATAATGACTGCTGAGCACATACATCAACAGAATGAACTATTTTATATTTATGTTTCTGTCGTCGATAAAATAAACCAAGACTATTGTGGTTTATTGTAAATATACCTAAAAAAATTAACTGTTAAGTTCAATTTCAAGTGTAGAGATTCCTGGGGATTTTTTGTTTTAAGGAGCTAATTTTCCAGAACCGTCGTTTGGCTTATGTAAAATTGGTTTACTATTTGCTAAACATATTAGCACCGGTCAAAAAATCCTAAAACGGCGCCCGACTAACTATACTGTTGTACCGAGTGATTGGAAGAATTTTTGTTTTCATCATCTTTACAGTTGAAGTTTGAAAATCAAAAGATGTTAGCCACATAATCAGTTAGGTAAGGGTAATTTGTAATGCAGATTATTGGGAAATTATTCGCTACTAATATCAGTATAAGTCTACAAAAAAAAAGGATATAATTAAAAAAACTAAAACGGTGTAAACCAAAAGGGTATAAATAAAAGTTTGCCACTGTACCTAATACCTAACCTAACTCACCCCAGCACCGTTGCACCGACCGCAGCATTTATGGGCCGGTGTAATGGAAGTAAGTACACGGTGCAGTGCTGCACACACGGCGAGGCGTTGCAGTTTAGTGCATACACAAGTAAAACCGCAAATTCTTTAAACCCGTTAGAGGGCGTCTGGTATTGTGAGTATTTTTTTATTATTATTATTTTATTTTGCACACACACACACACACACACCAACTCTGTGGTACACACGATCCCCTCGGTACCTACCTGTATATATATATATATATGTGTACATACATCATTCGGGGGGTTCCCCCGTCGTCTGTCGCCGACCAGAAGTCCGGTAGAGGACGCGCGGGTGGAGGGATATAGTAGTAGTACCGGCTGGTTTGGCTTAATATATATAATATTATATATGTATGAATAATATCCATCGGTCATGCACACACAGACTCGGAAGGACGCCGTCGCCGGTGTTCAGTTCGCTTTAGCATACCCCACGCACAAGTTCGCCGGCAAACCGCTTTTACCGTTCAAAAAATTGTTCTTATTTAAATGTTTTATTTTCAATCACAAGTATAACATAGTGTAATGTGTTTTTCAATTAGTCGTCAAGTCAAAAAGTTCTAGTGACGTTTCGACACCGGCCGTTAAAGTCTCCCGGGCGTTAAAGTCTCTCGAGGAAAAAATACAACACTGTTGGTTTAGACTACACATATTATTACAATCAACTTAGGGACACAATAATTAAAGCATATTTGGCCAAACTAAATGCATATATATATATATGTATACAGTTGCTTTAACTGAACGTTTATTTGGCCAAACTGTTTTTATTTATTAGTCGGCTCAACTATAATTGAGTATTGTGTTCCTATTTCAAAGATTGACAATAATATTTCAGTCGATCCAACCGTATTATATTTTTTCCCGTCGAGTCGACTTAATAATATATTATACAACAATACCGCTTCTCGACACCGCATTACAGTAAAATTGATTAAAGTAAGTCCTGTTTTGTTTTTTGCTTTTACACTAATGTATAATTGATTAGCGTTAACAAATCACATCGAGCAGATTGTCATTCATAAACAATAGACAATATATTTTATCTTTTACCTATCGAGTAAAAAAAAAAAAATGTATTACACCTTACATGGATGGTGTTGTTTTATTTTCTTAAGAGTT